TTTATATTTTATTTAGAGACAGGGTCTCACTAAGTTATTTAGGACTTGGATAAATTGCTGAGGCTGGCTTTGAACTCGCCATCCTCCTGCCTCAGCCTCCCTACCTGCTGGGATTACAGGAGAAGATTTTAAAAATAAGGTTATTGCAGAATCAGTTTTGGCAGAGAGGGTGGTGAGAAATGCAGCACAACCTGCTCCTGGTGACCCTCTGGGGCCCTCTGCCCAGGCCGGCAGGTGAGCTGAGGGTCTGGGGACAGGCTATGGCCTCTGCCCTGCAGACCCCAGAACTCCGGCAGCGCCTGCGCACTGGCTGACCCAGGATTTCCAGGACCCCCTGGCTGGATGACCTGAGGGTGGTCTCGACCTGTCAGACCTGGACCCTGTGGGCTGCCTGGTCTTCTGCCCCAATCCTGTCCATCCCAGGCAGAACGGCCACTGAGGACATGGTGCGCCTTTGGGTGGTGGAGGGCAGGACTAGGCGAGAAAAAATGGAGGTCCCCCAAAGCGGTGGAGACCAGCGGGGACTTCTAGGGCCAAGAGGCAAGCAGATGATGAAAGCTAAACCACGCCTTGGACAGCCGAGCAGCGCAGACCAGGGCCCTCTGTGACTCCTGATTGCCAGCTCATGGCGACACCACCTTGTAGGACAAGGCAGAGGCCTTCATTGCCCTGGAAGGTGATTGACTTCCGGGTGACCAGGGTGGACTGGTTAGCGGCCTGGCACTCGGTGTTCCTGCTCACAGAGAGCCTGCAGATCAATAGGCCACAAGTGACCCACTGGAAATGCCACCGCCCCACGGGAAGATTCCGTGGTCCTGTGGAGAAGCCTGTGTGTACAATATGAAAGGCCGCTCTCAGCTCCCCCACCTTTAAAACTAGTGCTACGACTGGACCTTGTAAACGTAAAGAGGTTGCCCACGTGTGGTAGAGGTACACGGTGACGTCTGTAAATACCCGTGTTAAAAACTCAGAAATGTCTTCTGGAAGGGACTTTGAAATGGATTAGTTAGACCAGCTCTAGGAGGGACACTTGTCCACGTTTGTCCAGTGGGTTAGAGGACACGGAGAAGCCTTTGACAGCGAGTTGAAGGAGGTCCTGTGCCAGATGTTTTTGTGTAAAAGACCTTTTTCATAAAATAAGGATTGTTTTGTGTGCATTTTATCCCTTATTACTATATATATTTGAAAATG